GACTTTTAAAAAACTCAAATTCTTCGTGACATATTCAGAAATGCGAGCCAGAATCTTTCCCTGTCTCCTTCCAAAATATATTCACATTTCTGAACATCTGATTCATAAATATCCTCTAGATTTCAACAGCACAATCGCTTGGCATTCCCCTGACAGTATCAAAATTGTTCAAAGCTGCCAATAAACAACTGCAACAAAACTGTTTTTGCTTTTCTGCAGCAGCCACACTATGATTATTATTATTGTTTGTCCCTCGCGTTCTTGTTGAAATATAAGGCTTCAGTAGCACTCCTTCATTCCCCTCACTTCCCTGTAGTCCTCCTAACTTGGTTCTGCGTCTGCACACAAGCTTTCATTTCCTCGTCACACCATCTCCTCCTCCCACCACCCTCGCCTCGGACGCCCAACCAGTCGTTTCCCCTTCGACTTCTACTCAACAGCCTGGCCTGACCTGACTGGTGATGTCCACAATCGGTCTCCTCAGTGTATGTTCAATCCATCTCCACTTTCTCCTGCATATTGGTTGAGTAATCGCTTCTTGGTTGGTTCGTTGTCAGCCAGAGTGAGTTTCTTGTTGCTTATTCTTATGATTCTGGCCATCTGGGCTTCAGTATCGAGTGAGCGTAGACGGCAGCTTTTGATGAATGTTCGTAGTTTGTTGGAAATGCTTTCCGTGACGCGCCGCCAAGTCTCTGAACCATCACAGAGAAGCACTGACTTGACAGATATTAGTGTTGAAAATCCGGATGTTGTTCACGCTTTATGTTAAGTGCAGTCGATCTCCACACTGGTCTCAGGTTAACGAATGCCTGTCTTGCTTTTCTGATCCTGACTTTGACGTTCTCGTCTGTGCTGCCTGTAGTTGAAACGATGCTGCCTAAGTGAGTAGGTGGAAGAGACTACTTCTTTGGATTTCACCCATTGGTGCTTATTGATACTTGTTGTTGTTGGTGGTTGGATATATTCATCACCTCTGTCTTCTCTACGTTCACCTGAAAGAAGTCCCGTCCACGAAACCTGACCTTGCCTCTTGTGTCAACTTGTTAGTTTTCGCCTGCAGATCTTCCACTTTTGTGCAACAAGACATTTGACACAAATCATCATCGACGGCAAATTCCAAATCTTCCAGGATCTCTTTATCGGTCTAGTCAGTGTGTGTCCATCTTCTCGCTCCTCAGAGTTGTCTGTTGCATGCTCCAGTCCTGTCCAGTCGACCACAATCAGGAAAATCATCGGTGATAGTAGGTGGCAGCCTTCACTTAATCCGCTCTTCACTTCAAACGCGTCAATCAGCTTTCCATTGTGAATCACTTGGCATGTAGCCTCGTCATATTGCATAGCATATAGCTGTTGAGTGAGGTTGATAATGGTGTGTGGCGCTGAGACCGTAGTGTTGAAGCAGCTGCTTGCTAAACTGCTTCTCGGTCGACGCTGTCGGAGGCTTTTTCAAAATCGATGAAGTTGAGGTAGAGTTGAGTTGACTACCGTTCTATGCTCTGTTAAATAATGATGCATGGCCTAACGTTGAAATTTGATCCACACATGATTTTTTCTTCCTGAAACCAGTGAGGCCACCTGTTCTGGTGGTACTTTTGAATCCAGAGCATTGTTCAGTCTCTCCAGTATGATGCGGCTTAATATTTTGCTTCGTCAGGTGGGGAGGGACTGGAGTATGATTCCGTGCCAGTTTTTGCAAAGACGTGGGTCTCCTCTGTTTGGAAGTTTGATGAGGTAGCCCTTCTTCCAACCAATCTGCAGATACCTATCCTTCCTTCCTTTCTGGCAAGCCCTCTGCAGTAGTGGTGTGAGCATTTCTGTGGTTGTCTCTGTGTCTGTTTTCAGTGCTTCTGGTGGAATTCCATCTGGTCGCGCTGCTTTCTCGGGTTTCAGCAGGTTTATGGCGTTCAAGACTTCACTTGCGCTTTTGCTAGGGTGCTTGTGTTCACTGGTAGTCTTGTGACTGGTCTGCTGGTGTTATTTCTGGACTAGTTGCAGGCGGTGGTGGTCGACTCAAGAGTTTTTTGAAGTGTTCAGCCAATCGTTTCCTTCGTATCTCCTCTTCGGTAACGAAGTTTCCTTCACTATATCTCTTTGGTTTCATCTCAGTTAATCTCTCCCCTCCCAGATAGTAGCCTGGTTATTTGATGTAGTGCGATCAGGTCTATGTCTCTTTTATCTGCAGCCTGTTCGGCTTCACTTGCTAGAGTGTCATAGAATTGTCTATTGTCTTTGCGAGCACTCTACGTCACTTCCTTGTCCAATATAGTGTTTCATACGTTGTGTTCAGTTCCTCTTCTCGTTGTTCATCCCTGCATTGCGTTGCACTACACTCCACTGGTTCATCTTCTGCTTCACCATCTTCCTCTACCTCCTCTATCAGCCTCCATGTGTCCATCGAAATCCATTCTCTGTCTTGTCTCTCCTTGTCTTCTTTCGTCTTCCCTCCTAACAAAGTTATGCAGGTTTCCTTCCACACAGCTTTCAAAGAGTTCCAGTATCCTTCCAAACAGGTCTTCTCAAGGATGTTGCTCAATATCTCCCATTTCGTCCTAATGATCGACTGACTGACTGACTGACTGACTGACATGAAGATATCCTTCGCAGTTTCGTCCTTCAGTTCACTTTCTGTTCTCGGTAGTTGTTGAACTTCAACTGTGGTCTATCACCAACTTCTCTGAAGGCTTTCAACTTGATTTCGAAAGTAGGTTGCTTTCATTAAATAGTGAGTAGTGTGAAGAAACATCTGCTCCCCTTCTTCATCTTGCGTGCAGCACGCTGCATCTCCATCCACACTTTCTCCACATTGACATGAAATCGATGTGATGTTTAGTGTGTCCAGGTGTCTGGTCGAATCAAATCCATGTCGCCCACTTTGTGCATATCCTTGTGTTTGTACACACTGCCTACAATCACCAATTCATTGAATGCGTGGAAATCTGCGAACAGTTCTCCATTCTCATTCATCATCTCATCAAGTGCTTCTCGATTCATGATGAGTTGTCTTCCTGTGTTGTCCACTCCCAGTTTATCATTCACATCACTCCACCCATCAGAATGAAGTTTGATGTCACCGTCGCCAACTGGCATGGAGTGTTGTCCAGTACTGGTTGCAGTTATCTGTACAATTCCTCCTCCTTCTCTTCATCTGCATTATTTGTAGGTGCATAGCGTAGCACTGAATGATTGTGACTTTCCCTCCTCTTCACCTAAATCTTGTTGTCATGATTCTGATGCTGGAGGAGATTGGTTCCCACTGCATGAGAGAGAGTTTTCGATTTTGTTGGGGATATCATGATAATCACTCGAAAACTCAGTGTGCTGTGCTTGCGGTTTCAGCCTGGGTGATAATTTCGGAGTAGATTATTGACTCGCAAACTGACAGCTTGTGGAGTTGACTTCCTTTCTATCTGCTGTCGCAGATCCCTATCACTTCTATCCCATACCTTTTCATTTCCTCTGCAATCTGGTCAGCCTTGCGAGCCAGCTTAAAACATTGTGCGTACATTCGATGTCTCCATGTTTAATTTCGCTTTCATCGAGGGAGAGTAAATACATAGTACAATTGGCTACCAAAGGCTTTCACCAACCGGCGTCATTCTGTCTTCTCGATTCCACAGATGAATAAGTTTAGCTTCATTTTTTATATTTTCTTTGTGCTTTGAAGCTTGTTTAGTGACAGAATTTGTTTCACGGGGTAGGGTTACCAGCCGTATGCCCAACCTTCCCTCTTTACCCCGGCCTTGAATCGGCTAGTGATTATTGAAGTAGTTAACTAGCGGCGATTACAACAGCTACACCAGGTAGGTTCGAAACTGATGCTTGCATTCGATAGGATAATGTCAATCCTGCTTCTCTTTGGTTATTTTATTCTCTTTAATTTGTAAGTACAAAATTTCAAGTCTTCAATACCGTTTGCTCTTCTTTCATCATATCATTCGAATTATTTCAGAACCTACTTGAACTTTCTGAGTTATATTTATCTTATTACTCAATACAACGAAAATCTATCAACCTCTCACCTCGCTCACCCAAACAAGATATCACTTCTATTTATTCTAGAATAATACTGTGTACAACACTGTCTCATCTTTGTCGTCTTCTCTAGAATGTTCAGTCTACCACCTTATAAATAGTTAACCTTTGAGTAGTTTTAACAACGTCACCAAATTTAATCGGTTTCGATCAACCTACAACTTTGTTATATTCCCTGTCAGTCGAAACATTCTTGTCGATGTATGGAAATGCGTTGTATAACATATTTGTTATGTATACCGGATAATGATTGGAGGTGAGATAAAAGTCTGGACCGCTGCCGGATTCGAACCAGCGACCACCCTGTATGAATACTAGTCTGTCACACTACAACTCAGATAGATAAATGATATTTGTTATCATAAAAATCATATTCTATAGGTTGTAAAGCAGCTAAGGGAATAGACGAAATATATGATTACTTATCCAGCTCATAATGTTCTTCCTTTATTCAAATTTTTTTGGAAGTAAAGGATTATTCGATATTTTGAATTATTTTGAATAAAATATATTTGTTCAGACATTGAGCCTCACTTGCAATCCATTAAGTTGTAACCTTTAACAGCTTCTGGAGATTTCTCGTATTTTCTTGAGTGCCAGCTATGTTAGTCATATATAAAGGTTTATTCCTACTGATTTCTCTAATAATTTGATTTCGATTCTTTCACCTCGTTGCTAATTTGGTAGACTGAAGTGATGGTTGAATAGACTGAACTAAGGTTGTTCAAGTCTTCCTGGATAAATGAATCAAAGACTGTGCACTTCTTTCAACCACTTTAACACGACTTTTTAGTGAACACTTTTATGAATTACAATGAATATGCAGAAACCCAAATCTTATGTTGAACATACGACAGGATGTGAAAACACATTGAAGTGACCAGGAAAACGGAAAGAGAATCAAAGAGTTTACATTATGACCAATAAATCTGCCAATATACATTTCATAAAAAAGGAAGATGACTTACTCATAATGTGTTATAAACTGTTCATTTCTTTGTGCTGGAATCCATGATATGTTTAAAGAACCAAAACTGAGAGGTACAATTTGTAAATTTCTTGGAGGTAAAAGTTGTAAATCCATAGATGGATATATACCTTGTTTACAAAATCAGTGGATTGGAAGTAAAAACTTTATTTCAATATTAATTCATTGGTCGATATTAGAGGTTTGCGAAGGTTGGTTTATTTGCACTCATTACATTTTATAAACAGAAAAGTCAGTTACTAGGCTAGACGGAGAAAAACAACTAAGACTAATGTCAGGGTTTTATTCATCATAAACTGGTACCAGTTGTAGAACCACCGGAAAGTTATTTCGTCTAAGTATGAGACTACTTAGCCGTGCGCTTTCATGATTCCAACGTAGATAGAAAGAGCTGCCTAGTACTTCCAGCTTTTCAATGGTTCTACAACTCGCATCGCTTCTTGATAAATAGTACTTTGAAATTAATCAATACCCATAAACTCCAAAACTGAAACTAACATCATCATACACTGTTTCTGCAAATACGGAGATTTCTTCACCAAACTTTTCTGTATGTATGCAGTAGAACTCAGTGCCTGTGAGTTTCAGCAGTCACCTTAACACCAACTTTGTTGGCCCTTAAAGACTTTAGTTACTAGTGAACATTGTTCTCTATAATGAAGTAGCAGACGACATCAGCTTGAAGTGTGAACAACAGAAAGCGTTCATTTAGTGAGAACATTGCACCAAGTTAGTTACATCACAATTTAGCAAATCAGTTTACAGTTAAGTCTGAAGCGTATTCACGCTAGATTTTCTGTTAACAAACAAAGTGCATTGTGCTGTAAAGTAAACTCCCGAACCAGTCAACTTATAAGTAATGGAATACGCGAAATTTGGATTCCAGTTTGAGATGACTGAATCCAGTTCCCGTTGTTCTTGAGAAAGTTAGTGTTCTTTGCCTTTATTTAGTCTTGTTTCACATAGCTTTTCATTTCAACGGTTAGTGGACATGAAAATGCTGCCGGTGCAGTGACAGTAAACAAATTTTACAGACTGTAGTTGAGTGAGTGTGCAAAGAATAAAATGTGGAGGAGTTTCAAAAATCAAATTTTAGACGATCACTTAGGTTTTCTTTTGTGATCTTTTCTTGGAATCTGTATCTTGAAGATTCTAGAGCTTCTAGAAAATAAATCGTATGTAGTGAAAAAGCCTGGGAGACGTCGAGGTAGCTCACGAGTTCAGACTTTTGCCTTTGATAAATTTCCTTTCCGAGATACACAATTTTCAGTTGTGATGAGAAAATAGGCTTCTTTTAGGAAATATGAACATCTATATATATATTCTGAATTCAAATTCCAGTTCCTGATATTCAGTAATAAAGAACTGTAGAAAAGATTCTCTACACATTGCTTCGGTGATTTATAAGAAGGGTTACGATATTACTATACAAATTTTAGGTGTGCGGTGATCCACCTTTGCTGCTTCCATGTCAAATATTTAGGATTACATCTTTGTCGAAATGATTAATGCATAAATAAAGTGGAAAGTGAATATTCGTTATGTTGACATATCATATATACTTCTGAGTTTGATAATACGTGGGAAGTGAGTACAATTTGAGGAGCACTTAAAGCCATTCACATGACATTTAATACTGAACCAGTTCATACACTAACTGGAAATATCAGACTCTATAGGTGGGATTCTTGTAAGATGTGTACATAAAAAGTTAAATGTTTATCTTGATATCTGATTAAAACTTTCTAAACTCATGAGGTTAAATAAAATAAGTAAACTCTTTTATAGCTTTGCATTCTGTGAGATGGATCAATAAATTACTGAACAATCCGCATCAATGAAAGTATTACCATCAGAACATTCAGCTAAGCTGATATTATGCTTTACCACCTCGAATAATGAGTTTCACAAGAGTGTAAACAAACATTTGGTAAGTGGCAACCTACATGTCGCAAACTTCAAAAGTCTCATCTTTAACGAAAAAATATAAGCATTTCTATGCATACTCCAGAGAAACCTTTAACGTAACTATTTTCAATATAGTTAATTATCTACGAATGAAGTGGTAACTATGGAGAAAAGTGCATGTTTAATTCCTCCCAGTATTAGTATTTTAGTTTACTTCATAGCATCTTTTTGTCAGAGACCACAATATATAAGCCCATCTACGTGGGTTCCAACAGGAAACGTGAAGAAACCAACAATGAATCCTATAAATCTGTTAAACTCTGATAGATAATAGTGTCTATAGTACAGTTTAAAAATAGTTTGCAGAGTTAATAGTATATCAGTTAATCTAAATCACATAGACAGATTCAGTCAATCTGAACAATTCACATCATTAATGAGCATAAGTTTTACGGTTCATCATCACATCACTCACTCCAGAACAATAGGAATATCCCTACAGTGCTTACATAACTTTGATTCAGGTTTAAAAAAACCTAGGGATCAACTCAAGTGATTTCTCAGCATCCAAGTAGTTCAACAAAGTAGTTTGTACTGCTTCCATATAGCAAAATTTTTAGTAAAACATCCGTAAAGTAAAAACTCAAGGATAACGGACCACCTAACAACCTGAGATCTTAGTAAAAACCAAATAAAAAGGCCCAGATAAATATCTTGCACTTAAATTTTTTTATCCTTCCTTTAAAAAAATATGTTTTTTTTTTCAGAGAAAAAAGATAATAGTAAGCCTTACATCTTTTTCAGTGAATAACAATAATTACTAATTCATATATTTTTTGAAAGAGAAAACAGCTTTGTTGACAATTTTGATGATGATGACAAGAATGATTAATGATTAATTAACGTGTTCAAAAATAATATTATTAATGGTAATATTGATAGCTATATTATTTCTCCTTGTCGTTTTCTCTGTCTACTGGCGCACTGGTAGATTAAACAAGCAGCCTGCAATATAAGTAGATCATCACTATTTCAGTTCTTATCGCATATATATATGGTAGGTAGGTGAAAGAGACTACTTCCTCTGGGTTTCTACTGTTCATGGTAATTGGTGCCTCTTGTTTTTCATGCTGTTGTTGGTTGGGTATCTTCATCACCTCCGTCTTCTTCACGTTCACCTGAAGGAAGTCCCGTCTCCAATGCCTCGCCTTGCCGCTTCTGTCAACCTGTTGTTTTTCGCCTGTAGATCTTTGAGTTTGTTTGACAAAACATCATCATCGACGGCGAAATCCAAATCTTCTAGGTTCTTTTCCCCGGTCCAGCGTATCCTCCTCTTCTCGCTCGTCACGGTTTGATGCATGATCCAGTCCACCACAATCAGGAATATCATGGGTGATAGTGGACAGCCTTGTCCTACTCCTGTCTTCATTTCAAAGGCGTCACTGAGCTTCCCATTGTGGATCACTTGGCATGTGGCAAAATGTTCCCTTCTAGTCCCAGTAAACATTTGCTGATACCATTGCCATTTCATAGTTAACTTTATATTTTCAGTGTGAGTCGAGAAAACGTGAAATGTGAACAGTAGAATTAAATGCATGGATGTGTCTAGCTGGACAGAAAGTAAACGGTAAAGGAAAGGCAGAGAAGGTTCCCTTAGACAGCTGTCCCTATATTTGTCTTCAAACGTTTATATTCGTAAATCTACAACAAATGATGTGCTACAGGAAAATTACTAGCCTTAAAGTCAAAATGGGTAAAAAAAGAGGAAGAATTGGTAGATTGTTAGGCAACAAGAAGAATCCTAAAATTTGAAAGTTTTTTAGCGAGTACGAGGATGAGAATATGGTTGATTGATGACGTAAGTACCAAGTGACATCCTAAAGGGGACAGCAGGTAAAATAAAAATAATAAAATGGTTATCTAATAAGGTGTAACCTATTTCATGTCATCTAGTCACCCACACTGACCGAAGTTTGCCGACTATTTTACACTGCAATCATAAGGCCAAGAGATTCACCATCGCAGTGCACCCTTGACAAATGTTAATTGGTTGGAATCACTTCACAGAAATTCCTAAAACTAGGTTTCGTGGTTGCTCCCAATCGTTAGCAAGGCGTATCTTCGACCCTAAAGAAAGTGATATCTCCTGTGAAATTCAAACCTGCATCACTTTACTCCCTCGAAGACAAAGTTAGTACGAAATCACCGACGGTCAATTTCAGGCTACAATATAAAGATGTAACCTTTATATAAGGAGTGGCCATAGTATTTTAGAAGCCCAGTTGAACAACTTTCTAGCATTTGAAGCTGTTTATGCTGAGTCCGAGTCTCATTGCGAGAAAAGTCACCCATAGAGCGGCAGGGACACTATGGTGACAAGTTTCACGTAGAATAGATATGTACTGAACTTCACTGCTAGCCATCAACGATTATCATTATCATTTTGATGTACCGTTGTTCAAAACCTAACCACCCAAATTAACTCCAATTTTCCTCTCATATATAACACTTCAAAGTAGTATTCTTTACGTCCCCGAAAGAAAGATTTTACACATTTTTATTCTACGTTCATTACATAACTGAAATCCTTCAAATGAAAAGTAATCAAATGAGGTTCAGTTTTTTTCTCTTTGTTCAGCATGATCTACTTACAACATTAATTGACTTGACATAGAACTATTCGGTTGAAATAAAGGTTAAATTGATGTCGTGAAAAGTAGACTAATACTTTTCAACATCTCTATTAAACTTAGTTAACAAAGATTGTTCTTCATTAAAAAGTAATCAAGAAATTTGGAAATACAACCACAACATGGTAGTTTAGTCACGCTTTAGTAGTTATAATTTTCAAATTATTTTTTGTCAATGTACACAAATAACATACAAAACGCTATAGAAACTAGCCTTCAAATTAATTTTTTGCTTGACTATTGTCTCCAGGGAACCGATTTATCAGAGATATGAAAAAAAAACTGTTTTCACTTTGACATCAGCATATTTAACTCAAGGAATTGATAGCTGTCGTTAATATGTATAATGTACTTACTTCTTTTTTGTCTCATTCTAGTAAATCTTATGTAGAGATACATTTCAAGAGATACATTCATTATATCATCATAACACCTAGTAATCATTATACTATGGTAAAATAAGTGTACAGTTATGAAATAAGTCAATGTTGACACAGACATTCATCAATAATGTATACTCATAAACAGTAATCATAATTAGTGTTGACTTTTTAGAGTTTGTCACTACTCTTGGTTGTATTATGTTCTCTGAGCTCAGAGAACACCTCAGCTACAAATATTCTCGACTATTTTAAAGTTATTCAAGCATTTTTCATTATTTTTTATCCCCATTGTATTATGCTGTCATGCCAACTTTTAAAATAATTTACTGTCATTGTCGAAAACAAAAGGGATTGTTTTTTTTGTGATTAATTTTCAATAAAAATGCATAATGTAATTCTGAAGGATAGAAAATAGTACAGGACATCAGTAGAGAAAAGAAATTAGGTTTCTTTGTAGTTTTACTGATAATCGAGTTCTATTAGTAGATGAATAATGTAATCTAATAATTCTTTCATATCATATTTTGTTGCTAATGAAATTAGTTGACTCTGAGACATGAGACGTTAATTGTTAGATCTTACTCTTAATGTGGATACCTGTTTACTTTAATGCCTCCAACTTACCGGTTCTACTTGAATATATATAATACAGTGTGATGGTGATATTACGCATCAGCTAACAAATTTTAATCCTAGAAAATTTCAACATAAGGAGTATCGAAGAAAACAATACGAAAACGAGATAATTTCAAGGTGAAAAGCTAAAAGAAAAATGAATAAGTAAGGTGGATCATCGATTGTGACTTATTTCTGTTGCCATTTTCCCCTTCAACTCCCAATATTTCTGGTGTTCAGTCAAACCTTAAGTTAGACGTAAGGCAAACGTAGAATCCAACTAAAAGAAGTTGATTTCAAAGTACAGACATCATAACTGACTAGAATATGCATCAAATAGTTACATTTGTGTCTTCGTCTTACTTCTGTTCACTTCGACTGTTCATGTAGAATTGTACTGTCAATAAGATAATTATGATTCTCTCAGGGTAGCCAAATGCACCGCCATAATTACGTGCCCAGGTGTCCACTTGAAGAAGCTTTGCATGGCACGGTTAAGTAGTTTGGATGCTTGTGCTTCTGGCCAGAAAAATTAGGGATGATATGTCTACCGATGACTACACTGTCAAAGTTGACTAGGCAGCACTAGCAGTCGACAAGATCCATATTCACTGATCAGTGGAACGCGGCCTCCAAAGCAGGCACTGTCTAGCAGACCATTAGTATTCTGCTTGGTGCTCTGTAAACAGTGCAGTTGTAAGGTAAAGGAATCCAGCTTCCTAATTCAAGTAGGCACTGATGTCGAAACAGTTCGAAGAGAAGTGGTACAGTTAGACCTGAGAAGGTGGGTGGTATTTAGTCCAAAATACTGGATGTATTTAGCTCTAGTTTTGGACTTACAGGTGGTCTGAGAGCAGCCTCAACTCATAAAATTTTATTGTGAGCAGGACAACCCACCGAGCAGGTAAGCTACATATTTCCCGCAAGATTGTGGAGACTTGAGTGAGACAAATCCTTCTCACGTCCAACTACCAGGGAGAATACGGATTCGATGGAGTCTGACAGTTGAGAGGATCTTAAGATTCACTGATAAGTTTTGAGGCAGTGTTAGCAGAGTTTTCTGACAAGAATATTTGCTTTCACGTGGTTGCGTCCCTAAAACGTTTCCCAGTCGGTGAGAAGACCGATCAACTAGATTAGGTTACGCCTTGAAATGGGAGCTGAGCAAAAAATAAGTGTATAACTCTTTTGAGATGTGATTTCCTTAATTTGCATTTCAGTTTCACATAGGTTCTTTCAAATGCAGTTCTTTCAAACAGTAAAATGACTTGTCATGTATTTCCGGGAAACTATGCATAATTTATAACCACTAAAAAAGTAATTGAGTAAATTTAACTTATTTTCGAAACAGAAATTTTAAAGTAGAATCTGCTAAAAGATGTGAGACCATAGAGCGTATAGTCTTTTCGTAAAATTATTACCTAACAGAAGGATTAACAGCTAATTACTTCTTACCTTTGGTCTCTATGTTGGAAGTTCTTTTTTGTCTAATACGTCCGATCGATTCATCTCGAGGCAATCTGTAAAAGCAAATTAGTAGAATAACAGGTATGTGTTAGTCAGTACGCACTTCAAACTATTCATTTACCGTACTAAGAACAGTCGTAGGCGATATAAGTGCTCAGATTAAACAAGGTTTTCGTAAAACCTAATCTTCTGTGTTAAAATCACACTGCTGTAAGTAATTTTCTTTACCCAAAGCAGTTAGGGGTACCATATATTTCAAAGTAAATGTAAGTATAAATCTGTAGTTTTCAACGTTTTCCCGAGTTTTTGAAATGAAAACTAATTTAGCATTCATGCATTTCACCTCAAAAACACCTTGCCCCTTTACAGAAGTTAAATTTTATGCTATCTTAGCATGTTATAAAACTAATCAAAGGAATGGAAGTGCTAGTTTCCATGCCTGTCGACCGCGACCTGTTAGAATTTACTCAAATCAATATAAACTAGTGTCATTCTATAGTATGAAATGTCAAAATCCATTCGTATCTTGACCATAAATGGATTTTTATGTCAGCAGAGAATTAAATCACTGAGAGACTGCGAGTCCACCAGCCACATCCTTTGAAACCGAACCAATAGTGAGAAATAAACCAATAACTGATTAACTTCGGTCATCGGTCAAGACTAGACAACATGAAATTGGTTACTCTTGAGTACTAAATTAATTTATTTAATCCAGTCCCACTGCAGGTCAGTACATCACCTTATTGAATGCTCTCTACTCTAACATTTGTGGGCATGTTAGAGCCTATGGCAAGTTGTTCAGGGAGTCATACTCGTCGAGTTGTGTCCGTCAAGGATGCCCACTATCTCCATTTTTATTTAATTTTATCATAGATATTCTTATGAAGGTTTCCCTCTCGTCACCTAATTACACAGACGTTGACACAATCACAGGTGAATTTTCTTTAGATCTAGAATATGCAGATGACATAGTCCTGTTAGGTGAAGACGCTGACAAGATGCAGAGTCTTCTGAACACTTTGAGTGGATATTTGAGAATGTTTTTGGGATACGGTTTTCAACACCGAAATGCAAATTTTTGCCCCAGGACTGGTCTTCAGCGGTACCACGGCTAACAGTAGAGAGTGAAGTGGTTGAGTGTGTCAACCATTTCACTTACCTGGGAAGTAGGATCAACCCCGGTGGGTTAGTTGCCGATGAAATCTCTGCACGGATACAAAAGGCTTGATTGGCTTTTGCCAATTTACGGCACCTATGACGCCGCCATGATATTCGTTTGTCTATTAAGGGTCGCGTGTACCGCACAGCAGTCTGCTCTGTTCTACTGTATGGCTGTGAAACATGGCCATTGAAAGTGGAAGATATAAGAAGGCTTCAAGTGTTTGACCGCCGTTGCCTTCGTAGTATAGAAGGTATTCCGTGGTATCACCACGTGAGTAATGCAGAAGTCAAGTGTAGAGTTTTAGAGAGTGGAGGTATATCAGTTGACAAGGTTATGAACCCTCATCGATTAAGATGGTTGGGATACGTACTACGTATGCCTAGTCATCGATTGCCTCGTCACACAATGTTGGCCGAAGTAGGTTCAGGCTGGAAAAAGGCCCGAGGTGGCCAGACTAAAACATGGCACCAATGTATGAAGTCTCTGACTGTTGGTTTAAGCCATGTAGGGCAATGCAGACTAGGTGTTTGGGGTCGGCGGGACAAGAGGAACCAGTGGTTGGAGACCCTAGGTGAAATGACTCAGAACCGAAGTCAGTGGCGCAGATGTATACACACATTATCCTCATCTTAACGACGCTATATCGAATCTCACCATTTTGTCATTCCTCCTTTCTTTATTCTCATACTTTATATTTATTTTGACTGCATTCTCTTATCTTCATCCTTCACCTCACTACCTCTCTACTTGATGTGCTGATATGAGGTGTGGCAACTCGGACCGTTACGCAGTAATGCCTGGTCCTATGTTGATACTGACTGATTGATTACAGAACTGTCGCGACTGGAAATATCTCCGACTGCAATACTGAGTAACACTGGTTTGAGTTTCACAGAGGAAATCTGTTCCTTTGAAGGTGAAAATGCGTCTTTCTTATGAGTGTCAAAAAGCGAGAAATCTAGTTTTGGAACTTCTTGCCGGACTCCCTTCAATCATCTGAGAACCAAACCTTTATCTTTGATGAAATCGATTTCAAAAAAACCAAGACTGACTGAGTCAAAATACTTTCCATGAACCATAAAAGAAGTTCTGAGGATATAGCTTTTTGATTGGTCAATCTCGCCCCTATTATGCTTCATAATTTACATTCGAAAGAAATATCTATTATATCTTATTAAGGTGATCCAATTAATTATGGTTAGTGTCAGATATCAATAATCAGCAGATAGTTTATAAATCCTCTTCATAAAAGTAACTGGATTTAGTTTTACAGTGTGTGATGTCTCATTTCTTAGGCAACCAGGTACACATGGATGAGCCGGAAATCGAAACTCAGAACTTAACAAATTACAATTATGCAGTGGACTCAATCGAAGATCTTTCTTTGTTAGTGTAAAAGAAACCCTTCGTCAATAATTTTCAGGTGTTTATTCTCAATTATTGAGATGGTTTGTCGGTATTATACTGTTTATCCTATGGCAATAACTTTAGTAATACACATAAACTTCAGTTAAAAGACTGAACTTAAGATAATAATACTGAATATTTGTAAGGGGACAAGTTTGTATGCCCTACTTCTGTGAACCATTTTGTATTATATCGCTCTAATCGTGTACAGTATTTTAGAAAACATTAATCTATTACTGTTCCTAGAGTGAACTTATTATCGTCCAAACATTATTGTTGTTAAAACAACTGCTGATGTCAAGGAGTGAACTAAAATATGAACTCAAAGTAACATTTACACTATTTCATAATATTATTTGCCTGCTTTTCAGGTGATTACAGTGGTTGTCGTAGATTTCCAATGTCTACTGACGTGTAAAAAAGAGAAAATCAAATTATTTTCGAACATTTATTAAATCCTAGTTTCGTATTCTTGAAAACATTCATCATAATACTATTCAGTCCAACTGGAGGTCAATCGCTGCCCAAATACCTAAGTGGTGAAGCGTCCCAGTGTAGCACTAAGGTTCTACTCTCTCTCTCTCTCTCTCTCTCTCTCTCTCTCTATCTATCTATCTATCTATCTCTATCTCTATCTCTCTCTCTGAGAACATTATATTCCTAACTTTCTTGACGAATGCTAACAAGTACGAAAACAAAGTCCAGGGTGTACTTCCGATCACCTTCAACTAACTAATACGCCTCAGTTTTGTTAGAAGCACATAAATACTGAAGCTTTACTTTGTGTCTGTAAATTGTTAGCTCCAACAACCTGGTAAGGTAGTACTATTGTCATTAAACACTAACTACAATTGGCTTTCATCAGTTCTTACAACAAAAATACGATTTTTGATGAAATTGAAAGGGCAAGTTTATCATAAAACCTTCTGAGCTTTTATTTCTAATGCATTCGGGGATAGAACTGATGAAATCTAAACAATAAGAATGATATTTAGAGATACAGGTGTCGAAAGAATTGATGAATTTTCTATAGTAACGCCCACAATCAAATAGATCGCAAATAACTTGATTTCAAAAATATATGGGATACTTAAGAGTATTATTTTGATCAGATCTGAAAAGTGATGATGGTTTACAAGCTAGAAATACCTGAAAGAAATATTTATTCTCTTATGCAATCTATGTTGAGATCTCATTAGTACATTACATTCAATGGAAGGAATAGTCAAATATTTTGTGAACTTAAATTTTTACTACTTCTCAATGAAAGTTATCCAGAAGTCTTGGAGGCACCAAAACCGTTATATAATACAAATGTTCAACTCTACGAGATGATTCATAACAGACACGTGATATATGCTCCTTTATGCAGCTGTCCTACAATTCCGAATTTTCAAACATCACTAAAAATAGTAGTATAGGCTGTGCTATCAAATAATAGTCACTTTTCTGACCATTTGGATGTTGTCTAATCCACTGCAGTTTACGAGGAATACTTCTCCGCCTAAAAAAACGATCAGAAGAGGGAATAAACTGTCTGAATGACTGTAGGAAGGATTGACCAAACTAAAGAACTTGATGCAACAACCATAGCTTCACCATGACTCATGAAAGAGAGTTGAACCAGCAGAAGAAAGCAGATATTAAGCAATTATAGCTCCTCAAAGTATGACGTAAAACGTGGGAGGGCAAAGTGGACTGTTCAGCAGAAATAATGATGACAAGAGAATATATAGCCAACCATGTCTGTCAGCCAGCTTTATTTATTCACCGGTCCCTCATTATTCGCACTGCCAGCTGGATTTTACTAAAAGGTGGATGTTAAATTCATTAATATACGAGTAAAACTTGAGCAATGTGGTCGATTGTAATTCCATTTTAGCCTGTTTGTTAGAAATATCAAACAGTAAAACAGTATCATTTATGGGATAACGTTCCAAACACAATTTATTGTCCATATTCTTATCAGGTAACTCCACAACTTCGAGACAGAGTTTATATATTCCTAATTTTCCCTCTCTCTCTGTGATGATATAGGTAGTATAATTTTCCACATACCTGGGACAGGTGCAGAATCATTTCGATTACATGCATTTGGTGTTGATTCGATAGAGAAAGATTCGGTTATCAATCTCTCTCTACCTAACTAAGGCAGTCTGTGATTGTGATTGTGTGTAGTTGCGTGCAGACCTTTAGCCGAGCTTTTCTCTAAATTTCTCATCATATTGGGATCTACTGATATTTATTTAGCTTATTTTTTGTGCTTTGTTATTCTGATCAACCTTGGTAGACTAAATCAAGATTAGTAGATCCCAATATGATGAGAAATTTAGAGAAAAGCTCGGCTAAAGGTCTGCACGCAACTACACACAATCACACAGTAGGGTGGGAAAGGGCAACATCGTTAAAGACTGCCTTAGTTAGGTAGAGAGAGATTGATAACCGAATCTTTCTCTATCGAATCAACACCAAATGCATGTA